AAGATTCAAAAAGATTGTGGAAAAGAAACGAATATACAAATTCTTATTAGGCTTAAGTAAGAATCTTGATGAAATTCGAGGCAGAATTTTGGGAACTAAACCTCTACCTAACATCCGGGAGGTAGTTTCAGAGGTCCTCCAAGAAGAAAGTTGAAAGAAGCTTATGTTAGGTACTCAAAACAATCAACAGATTACTGAGGGATCTGCTCTTGTTGTAAGGGAACAATTTTCCTCATCCAATGACAACTGTCAAAGGGGAGGAAGACCCTTGTGCGATCATTGCAAAAAACCAAGTCACACCAAGGATACCTATTGGAAAATTCATGGCAAACCAGCAAATTGGAAGCCTAAGGAAAGTCGTGGCCACCATGTTTCGATTGAGGATAAACTAGCAGATCCAAACCCAAGTCCATTCAGCAAGGAACAATTGGAAATTCTACAAAAATTGATCACTCAATCCATACAAGGTTCATTATCTTCCAATTCCAATTCTTCCTAGGATCTGGATCTTTGGCCCAAAAAGGTAACTTTCTCATAGCCCTAAATGTTAGAAAAGAACATGGAAACTGCTGGATTATCGACTCCGAAGCATCTGATCACATGTCAGGAGATATTACGGCTTCGTTTGGTTCACAATTGGGTGTTTTTGGGAAAAGTTTTCTGAAAAAAGTTAAAAAAAAGTTGAATTGGGCGGGTATTACGATGTAGAATTTATAAATTAATAAAATACCCTTTATGTTTGTTTTTTTACAAAATACCCCCTATAATAAAACATTAAAAGTTAACAAAAACACCCCCAACCCACCCTCAAATACCCCCAACCGGCCACCACCACTGGAGGTGGCCGGAGTAGCCTTATCGACGCATGACCGACTGGATCTTGCCGGTCATGCGCCGATATGGCCTTTTCCGGCCAGATCCACAGTGGATCTGGCCGGCAAAGGCCAGATCTACGGCCAGATCTGACCGTCAACGGCCAGATCTGACCGTCGACGGCCATATCTGGCCGTATTTGATCTCAACGACGGCCAACAAATGGTCGTCGTTGATGGTCAACGACGACCGTTTGTTGGCCATCGTGACCGACTGTTACGGCCAAAGATCTGGCCTTTTCCGACCAGATCCACCGTGGATCTGGTCAGAAAAGGCTAGATTCAGCCGGTAGTGCGCCATCCTACTAGATTCCAACCATTTTCCGGTGGTGGTGGCCAGAATCTGGTAAATGTGGATTGTTGGGGTGTTTTTGTAATTTTTAAAAAAATATTTAGGGGTATTTAATTAAATTAATAAATTTAGAGGGTTTAAAAAAAATTAAATAATATTAAAAATAGTATTTCCCAAAATGAGAGTTTTTGGGTATTTTACTGTTTAACTTTTTTGGGAATACTAAGAATAATGTTCCCAATCTTGAACCAAACGAAGCCTACAATGTTTAAAAATTATACACCTTGTGTTGGAAATTTCACTGTTCATATTGCAAATGGTTCTCTCTCAAATGTAGCTGACATTGGGTCTATTGTTATTTCCAAGAACCTAACTCTTAAATATGTTCTTTTTGTTCCTAATCTTGATTGTAATCTGCTATCTATCAGTAAAGTCACTCGAGATAAGAATTGTGTTACTAAATTTTTCCCAAATTATTGTGTTTTTCAGGATCTGGATTTAGGGAAGACGATTGGCAGTGCTGATATGTGTTTGGGTCTCTATATCTTCAAGACCATTGATTTTCCTGAAAAACAACCTTAGTCCACAAGTAGTGAAAGATTATCTTTTTCTGTTTGTGTTCCAAATAATGAGAATAGTGTTATGTTATAGCATTATCGATTGGGTCATCCTAATTTCATGTATCTCATAAAACTTTTCCCATCATTATTTAAGAATAATTCCAAGAATTTTCAGTGTGAAATATGTCAATTATCTAAAAAAGTTCACAACTCTTACCCAACTCAGTTTTATAAACCATCTTACCCTTTTTCAATGATTTGTAGTGATTTCTGGGGACCATCTAGAATAAGAAATGTTACTGGCACTAGATGGTTTGTTTCATTCATTGATGATCACACTAGAATTTCTTAGGTATTCTTAATGAAAGACAAATCTGAAGTAAGTCAAATTTTCAAAAACTTTCATACCATGATTCAAACACAATTCCATGTCAAAATACAAGTTTTGAAAACCGACAATGCAAAGGATTATTTCAATTCTTTTCTAGATAATTACTTGTTAAAAGAAGGAATAGTTCATCAAAGTTCATACATTGATACCCCACAACAAAATGGGGTAGCTGAAAAGAAAAAATAAGCACTTGTTAGAAGTTGCAAGATCACTCATGATCTCCACCAATGTTCCAAAAAATTTTTAGGGAGAAGCTGTTCTCACTGTCACTTATCTCATAAATAGAATGTCTTCTCGTGTGTTAAATTTCCAAACTCCTAGTCTAATCCTACTCAAATCATATCCTCATACTCGGCTAATTTCCACTCTTCCACCGATGTGTTTGGTTGTATGGCATTTGTTTATAATAAACAACCAAACCAAAGTAAACTTGATCCAAGGGCTATTAAGTGCATCTTTCTAGGGTATTCATCGAGTCAAAAAGGATACAAGTGTTACTCCCCCCATCACAAGAAAACTCTACAACACAATGGATGTAAACTTTTTTGAAAACCAGCCATATTATCCCAAAAATGATATTCAATGGGAGAATAGAATCCCGGAATACCAATTTTGGGAAACAAAACCTATCGAGACACCTATAGCTCCCATAGCCGAGATACCAATAAGAATATCTGAATCTGAATGCTCATTATTGATTCTGAGTCTAATCCTTCTTAAGCCGAGTCAAGTACTCCAACTCCACTCATTTCTCAACCAACTCAGCCTCAAACTGTGAAAAACAGTGAGTTCATTGTCTATTCCAGGAAAAAGAAGGAAAATCAAGAAGATATATAAAGGACCAAACACATCCCTGGCCAGTCCATGAAGATGAATTGAATCCAAATCCAGAGGAAACACCTTCATGTAACACTAATAACGATCTCATTGAGTCCGATCAGGTAGAGAATAATGATCTTGATTTACGTATTGCAAAAAGAAAAGGAACCAAATCATGCACAAGCCACCCAATCTATAACTTCATCTCTTACAAAAATTTGTCAATAAGATATCGTGCATCTGTTGCCAATCTTACTGATATTCAGATTCCAAACACTGTTCAAGAAGCACTACAAGTACCTAAGTGGAGAGTTGCCATTGAAGATGAAGTCAAAGCTTTAGAAAAGAATGACATATGGGAACTTACAGAACTCCTAGAAGGGAAGAATCCAGTGGGATGCAAGTGGATTTTCACAATAAAATACAAAGCCGACGGAAGTATTGATAGGTTCAAAGCACGACTTGTAGCAAAGGGCTTCACTCAGTCCTATGGAATTGACTACCGAGAGACTTTTGCACTTGTTGCAAAATTAAACACAATTAGAGCCTAGTTATCCCTGGCTGCAAACCGTGACTGGTGTCTTAATCAACTAGATATCAAGAATGTTTTTCTTAATGGTGACCTAGAAGAAGTGTATATACAAATTCCCTCAGGATTGGAGACTCAAGCAGACTCAAAAAATCTCTTTATGGGCTCAAACAGTCCCCTCGAGCTCGGTTTGACCGTTTTATCAAGGCTGTGAAAAAAGTTGGGTATTCACAATGTCACTCTGATCATACCTTATTCATAAAACAATCTACTAGGGGAGCATTAGCCATCATCATTGTATATGTAGATGATATAATTTTGACAAGAGATCATGAGGAGGAAATAAGTAATCTCAAGAAATTCCTTGCTAAAGAGTTCGAAATCAATGACTTGGGAAATCTTAAATACTTCCTCGGAATGGAAATTGCTCGATCAAAGAAGGGAATTGTTGTCTTGTAGCTAAAATATGTCCTTGATTTATTGAAGGAAACTGGCATGCTTGACTGTAAACCTGCTGATACACCTATGTACTATACTACAAAGGTGGGAGTTGCAGAAGGAAGTGTTCCAGTTGACAAAGGAAGATATCAAAGACTTGCTGGAAAACTTATCTATCTTTCTCACACTAGGCCTGATATCAGTTTTTCTGTTAGCATGGTTAGTCAATTCATGAATAATCCAACTGAGGAACACATGGAAGTTGTTTATCGGATTCTAAGATATCAAAAAATGACTCCAGGAAGGGGATTGTATTTCAAGAAAACACAAAAAAGAGATGTGAAGATATTTACCGATGCTGATTGGGTTGGGTCCATAACTGACCGAAGATCAACTTCAGGGTATTACACGTTTGTATAGGGAAACTTGGTTACCTAGCGTAACAAGAAACAACCAGTGGTAGCAAGAAGAACTGCAGAAGCAGAATTTAGAGCTATGGCATAAGGAATTTGTGAAGGAATTTGGTTAAGAAGACTTTTATAAGAATTGCAAATTCAATTAGAAGATCCTATGAAGATGTTCTGTGATAATCAAGCTGCCATAAGCATTACAAAGAACCCAATCCATCATGATCAAACAAAACATGTGGAAATCAATCGACATTTTATTAAGGAGAAGATAGAAGAAGGAATCATCTCAATGGTTTACACTCTAACCACTTTTCAGACAACCAACATCCTCACTAAGGCTCTTCCTAGAATGAGTTTTGAAGATTTGAGATTCAAGCTGGGTATGACTGATATCTATAACCCAACTTGAAGGGGAGTGTAGAAAATCAGAATCTAATTTACAGCTGGTGTTCAACCTTGATTCTAGTATGAAAATCAGGGATCTTCAACCTTGATTCTTGTATTAAAATCAGGGATTTTTTATTTCTTTCTTTTTTAGTTTGTCCTAAACTTCTATAAATAGTTGGTCTGTTTCCAACCATAATCATCACAAAATAAAGCATTGTTGTTTTCTCAAAAATCTACAAAAATATATCTTAAATTTTAACCATAATACAAAGACAATTTCTTATATTTAAATTATCCCCGCTTATTTAGGAATTCAAATACACATCAAATAGAATGACCATTAATTAAACAACACCAGAATCAAGTGAAGGTGTATATATAGGAGCAATGTGTCAAAAATAGTACCTTAGGGGCCAACATGTAATAAACACTATTATCAACACCTCTAAAAGACAAAGTAAGACCTTTCTCATTGCCCTCAGTTGTGTGATTGAATACAACATCCATGAACACCTGCTAAAGAAAATTAGATATGGAAAACTGTTAATTACTGAAAAGAAATGCTCCTTGTTACTGAGACCAGGTATCACCTCAATTCTTCATATCTGTGATTCCTTAATAAGAAGGTTGAATTCATTAATAGCATCACGGCCACAATTACATGTACCATTATATGAATATCTTATCATAGGAGAAAAGTAGTTGACAGTGGAATACCCCCAAAAATTTACCCTGGCAAGAAATAATAATTAGACAAGATATGTCAACAATACATCAAGATTTTCCTCAATTTGTAAAGATCATATTATTAACATAAATCAGTTTATTTATTAGACTTTATTAATTTGTAACACAGCCTTTACCATTGCTCATGCCCAAGAGCTAAAAATCATTTTTTTCCAGCTAGTATTCTTTTTAAGAGAATAGAAAAAACTAAGATTTCAGTCTAGAAAGTATTTGAGCCCTCATACTAATCATTTATCATAGAAATCTATATTCACATGAGTACAAAATCAAGGTAAAGAAACATTCTAATAATAGAGTTATAATAAGAAATTGACTAGAAACAAATATTTGATTATTTATATCCTTCTCTTACGGATCATTTACATCCCTTTAAAATTTGGACCGTATCTCTTTTATGTAAAAATTGGTTAAAAGACTAATTTTTTCTTTAACTCCTACTAACTCTCTAAGTTGAGTTCAGAATTATAAAATAAAATTAAACAAAAAAGGTAGACATCCATACTTGAGAATTTCTTTCATTGTGCATGTGTGTGTCCATGTCATAATGTACTGTAACAATGATAAGTTTGTACTACTGAACAATAGACTTGTAACAGTCAATGACAAACTCACAACAACATTATATTTAAAATGCCTAACATGAAAGTTATAACATTTAAAAGGTAAAGTTATACATAGAAACACACACACACACACACACACACATATAAACAATGATTGCCCCTTAGGTTTCATAAACATATAGATTTCTATTTGCCAGTTAAGTTTCTTAAATGCTAGAGGGCCAGAATTACCTAAAATATCTCTGATGTGTTGAGAGAGCTAAAATAGTGTTTGACAGGAAAATCTACATCGACCAGATATATTTACATGATTTTAACCCTCTGACATGTGTATAGAGCAATTTTTTTCTAAAGGCAATTTACTCCAAAAGATGATCTGTGCATTTATGAAACCTCAAGAGTAGTCATCACAATTACCCCAAACTTCAAGATGGAAATTAAAATCACCCTTATACATGAATGAGCAGGTAACTTCTCTCCACAGTGACTACTTAAAAATTCAAATAACGTTCTAGGTGAAATCTTTAACAGAATATTTGAAAAACATAATAGAAGAAGGATTTAACTGTTCACACTACGCCAGTAATCATGAAAGCAATGACTGCAGCAAAACAATGTATGAGATTTTACACAGTCCATCACTAAGAAACCGTAAAATTTAGCCTATCATGAACTCCAGTTGCATTTTCAAAGCTTGTTTAAGTCTACAATAGGCTGCATAAAGTTTACCAATATGAATCTTTTTTAAATTTTGTATAAAGCGAAAACAGATTCTAGATAACAAGGTGAAAAATCATATTTATAATCGCCCAAGAAAGAATTATAGCTAAAATACTCAGCTCATTGAATTCATGACATGGCATCAATTCTATACAGTTAACTCCAAGGTCATGTAAAATAAATAGATAATAATGGTTACTAACAACAACCAATAATATAATGCGTTTATCACAAAAGTTAGAACTGATTAAAATTCAAAAATAAGTTTACCACCGGAATGAGAAATCAACACTTCATTTTCATACTAAGAAGAAATTTGAAGGTCCAAAAAATTACTTAAACTAAGAATAAGGAGATTATATTTACAGTAAAGGTTGTCAGAGTGCTTATAAGCTCATTTTTCTAGCCTCTGCTTAGGGATATGGACTCAATTTGGTTGTTACAAGATCTTATACTGTACATTGAACCATATGACATCTCTGCTAACATCCAAATTAATATCGGATAGCGCATTTAATAAGAATTAAAATAGGTAAATGAAGCAACCACCTCATCCTCAGAATTACGCACCATGCAGACCATTTGAGGCCAGCAATTATCATCAGGCGCCGGAACGCCAAACTGCCCTCTACTGAGTGATAACTGCCTATACAAATTAAACTAAAATCAGTCCATGGATAAATCGTGTAAAATGTAAACAGAAATTCGAAATTTGACGCAACTAACTTTCGCATACGGATCCAATACTATTTTGGAAGAGTCATAATACTGTCCTCGCTCAGGAGAAAACTTGCCATCAAATTTGCATCCATACAACATGTCTTTAAAATCTCCTTTAACAAATACATGCCACACATCTCCAATTTAATTAATAAAAGGATCAAGGAAGATTTCTTCAGTGACTCTACCCTGCATCAAATATAAAAACACAAAATTAATCATAAAAAAATGGACTTAATTATAACAAAACAAGTAATTACATGAAAAAATCAAATTATAACCTCTTGCAAATCGGAGAGAGTGATCAAGCAAAGAGTAGCGGAAACCGCATTGCTAGAAAATATACAAAAATTGACTCTACCGTCTCGAGCAATTGCTCCAAACGGAGTCGGATTACCCTGTGATACCTTAAACCGCCGCTTCAGCTTCTCAATGATGGCAGTTTCCAACTCGGCTTCTTTTCTCGCTTTGACGACTAAATTTTTGAAAACGTCAGCAAATGCTAATGGTTTCGAGTTAGAAACGGTTCGCATTCTCGTTCTCATTGGATGACTGCAATCAAGAATTGGTTCAGAGAGTGAGTTAAGTACCTTGCTTTTTGAAGGAAATGAAATGAAGTTATTTGGTGGAGAAGGAGAAATATCTCAGCAATAAAAAATGGGTACGGGATGTGAGTTCCGCTTTTTCCGATAAATTTGGGTTTGCTTTAACTCATGTCAGACAAAGTTTGTCTCGATAGACAAAACTATCCCTATATGTGTCAAGAAATTGCACACTCCCATTTTTTAAACTTTTTGAGCAATACTACGTTTACAAAGTCCCCATACAAAGATACATGTACAAAGTGATGTATCATATTATGGTTAGACAATGAATTTAACTTTAATTAAAAAGTTGACTTTACAAATTCACTCTCCTAATCATAATATGACACATCACTTTGTACATATATCTTTGTATAAGGACTTTGTAAGTGTAGTATTATCCTTTTTAAAATCATTACTGATTTGAAATTTTGAATCTCAAAGAAAATTACAAAATCCGCAAAGATCTTTCAAGATTTGTTCGTTATTAGTATTTGATTTTTTATGCTTTAAATCACAACCGAATTCAACGCGTAAAGATTTGTTACGTTTAATAGATGTAATTAAAAAAACTTAAATCAATTTTTTAAAATTAAATATTAAATTGAAATTACTAAAACCTCTCACTATCAACATAAAATGTTAATGGTGGGTGTTTGTTTTATTATTTTGAGTAGTATTTTTGAAAAAGTTAAATTTGATTATTATTAATTTTAATTTGAAAATGTGTTTCATAAAATTATTTTTAATCTCCTATATTTATTAATTTAGTTAAACACCTCTTACAATAAAAGTTTTAAAATTAACAAAAACACTTTCACCCACTCATTAAATGTCGGCAATCGACCATCACCGTCGGAGGGTAGCCGAAAGTCATTGAAATGGCACACGACTGACTGATTGGGGGTGTTTAGTTAAATTACTTATGGAGTTAAAAATTATTGTGACGTAATGAAATTCAAATACTAAGGGTTTGTTTGGTTCATTATTCTGATAGTTTTTAGAATAATATTTTGAAAAAAGTTAAATTAAGTGGGTATTACAATGTATGGTTTGGAAATTAATAAAAATACCTCTTATGTTTGTTTATTTACTAAATACCCATATAATAAAATATTAAAAGTTAACAAAAACATCTCTAATCCACCTATTAAATACGGACAGTCGACCGTTACCATCGGAGGGTGGGCGGGGTGTTTTTGTAATTTTTAAAAAAAATTGAGAGTGTTTGATTAAATTAATAAATTTAGGAAAGTTTAAAAGAAATTGAATAATATAAAATAGTATTGTGAGAATAAGCTAATTTTACTATTTAACTTTATTGAAAAAATTAAAATAATATTCGCAAGAGTGAAACAAATGAAGCCTAATTGTTTGCGTCAAAAATTAAGTTGCCCGAAGAGATTTAGTTTTATTGCCCTTCTAGTAGTTGAATACCCAAAAATGGGAGCCTAAGTTAAATGACTGATTCAATTTCATCAAAAGCAATTTCTTATTCGTCTTATTGATCTCCAAATTCTTGATTATACCCCTTTATATAGAGCTCCTCACTAATTGGTGGTTACTTCTCTAGTTTACCGACCCCACTGTTTTAGAATAACTTATTTCCAACCCAAATTTATTGGAATTATTGGAATTCTTTCTTTCCCTTCATAACCATGACTATCTTCCACCACAAACATTAAATTGGTATAACTTTCATACCAAAATTATGCAACCTTCACATCATTTTACTATTATATCTCTAATCCGTTATTCTAAAAAGAATATTTCTTAGAATACTCTTTTTCTTTTTCTCTAATAAGACACTAAATTGATGTAAAACACCAAAATGGTGTCCAAATATTTCTCTAAATTGGTGTGGATAAATAGTATCACATCAAATTTGGTGTGACTTTTAAAATTGGATTCAAGTAACATTTGGACACTATATTGGTGTTTTACAGCAATTTGGTGTCCCATTGGAGATAAAATTTAGTGGTGGATTCTAACTTCTCCCCATCACCTTCACTCACATGGTCCACTACTTTTTCTTATGGAGATAGGCGCAAATTACTCTTTACCTGTAAGCTTTATTTACTTCTCTTAAGTGGCCCTCAATTCTCTCTTTAAATGGGTTTTTATCTCATTTCTTTCTTCGGCTTCTCTCTCTAAACTTGGCTTTTATTAGACATTTCCTAGCCCCATTCTTACAAGTTTTTCTTACCATTTCCTAATTATAAATTTGAGTAGATATATTGAGTTAAATTCCTTCCAAAAATTTATATAAAATTCAATCTCACATTTTATATAACTATGGAAAATTGATGCTCGTCTTCTACTTTCGAAATTGACGGGTAAAAGCATTTTGCTATCATCAAATCTTTTGCCTTTTTTATTAATTTTGATTATGTATTGTTTTGTGTTTTCCAATTATGAACGCGTTTCATTTCGCTACAACACTAGAGCAAATTCACTCCCACTACAGCGAATATATTTTCGTTAAAGGGGAATTTGGTTTTAAAAGATTTTTGGTAGAGAGGAAAGTTGTAGAAAGAAGAAGATTCTTCAATTATATCGAACAAATGTTTTGTACAGTACCTTTTAAGTAAAAGTAAATTCTAACTAATTCAACTAACCAACTCAACTAATTTAGTTAACTATAGTTACATTTAACTAAAGCAACATTAATGAGAGCTATAAAGATTCAACAGTCCTAACTTGGATAAGAGGTGATGATGTAGCTAATGTTAGTAAACGGTCCCATATACGCAGCGGAAACAAAACAAATATAATATAGAGATCATTTACATGAGCCCAAATCAAGGGTATAATTTTACAATTCATATTAAATAAAATCTGCAGAAAAATAAATCTGAGTTTAAAGAAAACAAACGCAATTTGGAGGCTCCTCCAAATTTGTCGACAAATGTTTTGCTACCGATCCAAGTGTAGGATCGAACCTGCGTAATCCACACGAAGACAATCTCAAAAAGAACCAAAAGAAGGATTTCCTAGATCCTCTTTGGCTTCAAGACTAAGAAGAAAGCATATCAATTGAATTGATTTTTAGGCCAAAAATGTTTATGTCGTGGGAGTGCATTCAAAAGGGGTTGTTGTGTGTGTTTTTCTGTTAAAAAGAAATCAATTCCTTAAAACAATTAACTCACACTTTTCCTTTTATAGTTAATCAAGTTGCCATAATCCCATATGGAATAGGCTTGGGCTTCAACCCAAACACCCCATGTTACCAAACACTCCCAATTCAATATTTTATTTTCCATCATTATCTCAATTAAAATCAATTAATATAAATTTAATATATATTAACATTTAACAATAATGATAATATATTTAAATATGTACGAACACACATGTAAACGTAATTTCACTTATTTAATTTTTCTAACAAATTAAATAAAGGCTACGACCTCAGCAAATTTAATTGCACTGTGAAATTACCAAAATACCCTTTCGCCTTAAAAGACGAAAACATCATTCTTTCTTCTCGGATCTTAAATTATCTTCTATGTGTGTGACCCATAGGTTCATCATCATATCGGCAGTGTATAGTATCACGATTAACACCAATTAATCGTCTCACTAATACACAGACCAAGATTGGCCCCTAGCAAGGCATCTTGGCCACCCGATATATTCGGATTCAGCAAAGTAGCTACCTGTCAACGATATGGTTACCGTGCAATTCGATCCTTTCATCATACGTTATCTCGACAAGACAAAGGCATAGAAATAGTGTCAACCTTCGATTACTCTCGATATTATGTATTCAATTTCTGGACCAATGACCCGTATTATAAACTGGATAGAGCAACAACTCAATCCCACTGTGACCACAGTTTTAATGTCATTGCCATATACTGAATTGCGCCGTGAGATAACTTCTCCCTTACCTGTGAGTGATGAATCATCTGTCAATCCACCATAGTCTTGATACACTCCTTGATACAGCCAATCACCACCGTATTGACAGCTCTGAAAAGAACTGTGTTAGGCTAGTGTCAAACTACACCAATCGGTGCACAAGGCGCTCCGGTGATCTCAAGTCTAAGGATCACATGCACCACCATTCGTTAGAGGATTTGTTCCATTGACACTAGGGTTACCATCTATATGGAATCCTCTGGTAGGCCAGTCTAGTGAACTTGTTGCGGTGTAATCACCTACAGCAAGCACCCATGTTTTGCACCAGGTTGTCACCAAACAACCTTGACAAGTGAGATCAGTCACTGTCTTTCGACAAGGTCGTTCAACACTATGATAGCCGTACCATATTATATGTGCCCTTACTTCAGAATAATACTGGGGCTACGGACGTTTCTAAAATGGCCACCATATGTGCTCATATGGTTCTCACTATCAAGATTTGAAACACTTGATACCCTTGTCACGGTTCTACCATTCTAAGGACATATATCAATACATATTGCAATAATAATGATTTATGCGATATATAATAAAATGTCTTTTATTGATTAATGAACATTATTACAAAGAGTCAATTCTACAATAATTGATTGGCTCTAGGGCACCTACTTCAACAATCTCCCACTTGCACTATAGCCAATCATTCATGCACTCAACATTGAATGATCCAAATGCCTGCACTATCGCCGATCATTCATGCACTCAACATTGAATGACCCAAGTGACCATCATGCTTCTACTACAACAGAAACTTCAATAGTGGATTAGTAGGTATTCTGCAATTTTACATGTTCCCTTTCTTATCGATCCTTCAGATCAGATTGAATCAACTAAGTAAGTGTTTGGATTACTAGTGAGACCGTGATTTCTCAGCCACAACAATGGCTCCATTGTTATCGCAGTACAACTATACTGGATTGGCAATGATTGAAATCAAATCAAGTTCGGTAATGAACTTCTTGGTCCAAACCGCCTACATGGCTGCATTAAATAATGCGATATACTTAGCATCAAATGTAGAATCCACTGCAGTATACCAATTTGAGCTCTTGCAGCTCACTGCAGTTATATTGAGACAAAATGTGTAATCCCAAATTACGAACTATAATCATCTTTTTCCCGTTTGGAAATAGCTTCACTGTATTCGCTTA